CATGGACCGCATGTTCTACGGAGCCTCCGAATTCAATCAGGATCTTCGTGCTTGGAGTACCGCAGCTCTTTTCAGCTCTATGGAGTTGTTCTCCTCTGGAGATGTATTGCGTTCTCCTCCTTGTCATGCACGGACTGCTGTTTCAAGCAATGGTCTGATCTGTGAGGTTTGCCCTCCTGGAAGCTTTACTTGGACGGGCATAACAGGATGTCTCCCATGCAACTCAGACCGTCCCTCCTTTCACAAGGAGACCGTCGCTGCATGCCACCATGAAGAACCACGCGGCACCTGCCGAGATTGCCCCGCTGACTGCACGGCATGTATTTCTGCCTGCTTGACTCCCTTCCGCAACAAGCCCCCGGACCAAGCTAGCACCATTGTCAGAATGTTCCGGGAGTGGCCACGTCCAATATTGTAATCTAGGTTACCTGAAGATTTTTCAGACGGCAGCTTGCCCACCGCAGTTTGAAACCAAAGTCGTAGCTCGCCAAACCTTATTAAGCAGGAATTCTACCCCTTGCAGTGAACCCTCAAATCTAAATATAGCCGAACGGACATACAAGTATAGGAGTTTTATTTAGTGGTCCATTTTCTTGTCCATGTGATTTTCCCCTTGTTGGGATAGCATTCCGAAATAGTCCTCCTCCCAGGCTTGAGCTTCGCAAAGCGGTTGTCGAATGGGCGAATGGACGGCCCGGAAATCAGGGAAGCTTGAAGAAATCGTTTGGGTCAAGAAGCTGCCCCCCCCATATGGTTTTTGCAATTCCTGAACGTTACTGCAAATGCTTGTTTCGCATACCAAGTAGGTGAAAATTCGCTTGTTTACGTCCTTGCAGCTAAGGGAAGAGTCAGCTGCGGTCCGTTTATGGGGACATTGAGCAATGGGACGTTTCCGCTGTGACCGACATGAGTGGTGTTTTTGAAGATCTTGAGTTCTTCAACGAGAACATCAGCATGTGGAACCTCTCAGCTGTGACTAACATGAGCCGCACCTTCTTCGGCGCGAACTCCTTCAACCAGCCACTGGGATCATGGAACACATCAAGCGTCACAGACATGGAGAGCGCATTCTCCCATGCAGCGGTTTTTAACCAGGCCATCGGTTCCTGGGACATGGCATCTGTGACGAGCATGCAGCGGATGTTCCATCAAGCGGCTGCTTTCAATCAGCCCATCGGGAGTTGGAAGACGTCGTCTGTGAGGACCATGAAGGAGATGTTCTACCAAGCAGCTGCTTTTAATCAGCCAATTGGCTTGTGTGGGACACGTCAGCTGTGACCAGCATGGAGGGGATGTTCCAGGGCGCAGCTTCTTTCAATCAGCCCATCGATAGTTGGGAAACCTCATCGGTGACCAGCATGAAGTCAATGTTCGACCATGCTTCTTCTTTCAATCAGCCAATTGGCTCATGGGACACTTCGTCATTGAGAAGCATGGCTCATATGTTCAGCTATGCTTCTTCTTTCAATCAGCCCATCGGCTTGTGGGATACGTCCTGTGTCACAACCATGGCAGGGATGTTTAGGTCGGCACAATCTTTCAATAAGCCCATCGGCTCCTGGAATACATCGGCTGTGACAAGCATGCAATGGATGTTTCTCGAAGCAAGGGTGTTTGATGCACCAATTGGCTCGTGGGACACTTCCTCGGTGAGAAGCATGCAGTCAATGTTCCGAGCAACACCTTTCAATCAGCCCATCGGCTCATGGAATACTTCACGTGTGACAGATATGAAATACATGTTTTTATGGTCTAGGTCCTTTAATCAGCCAATTGGATGGTGGGATACATCTTCTGTGGCCGAGATGACTAAGATGTTTAAAGGGGCATCGGCCTTCAATCAGCCAATTGGCCACTGGAGCTTAGCATCCGCGCCATTTTCTCGTCGCCTTTACATGTTTGCTTTCGCGCATGCCTTTGACCAGCCACCCTGCAAGGCGGGAGCTGCCCCAGGCCGCAACAGGCTCGGATGCGAGCGGTGCCCTGCAGGGCACTTTGCGCTGAAAGCTTCGAAGGTTTGCCGCCGCTGCAATGCTGGTTCCATCCCTACAGCAGACCCTGGGTTGCTGTTAAGGAATTTAAGTTAAGTTACCATAATGGGTATATGTGTATATTTATACATACAGTAACATGGTCCCTCAATATAGTACCTGAATATAATAATGTAAGTTCCTGAACGGCAACCAAGGACCGCAGCTCTTGCGAGCAGTGTCCATCTGGCAAGTTCTCTGGCGTGTTCGATTGTCAGGAGGGGGAATGCAAGTACTCCTGCTTTCGTGTTTTCCAAAACAGGCGCCTGGGGTCGACCCAAATTCCTTCAAGTGTTGGTCAATAACAGGATGTAGGACTAGCATCATCACTTCAGAAGTCGAGTGAGTATTTCCATGGCTTGATGGTTATAAAGCACAAGTTTTTGCCTTCCTTGAATACTCCTGTAAGGTGAGGGTGTACCTGTAGACTCCATTCCTTGAGTACTCCTGTAAGGTGAGGATTGCCTGTAGACTCCATCGCCATAAGATGGAAGGAATCCATTCGCTGTAACGTTAGCCGTTAGACACACCCCACTGCGCCGCAAGTATTTTATGCTCGCTAGGAGCCTTAATGTATTGGTGGACATGTGTAACATCGTAACATTAGGGGTGGGGTGATGTTTGACCTTCTTTTAGAGGAAGTAGTATTTGTGTGCAATAATACGACCTACGGAAGCCACAACCCGGAAACTTACAGTGTCCGCATAATCTCCGTATATCCTAGGTGCTGGGTCCCTGAAGGGTACCATCTCTTTTGGAAGCGCTGATGCAGGAGCCTCCATGTAAACCTTAGAGTTCACGTGTGGCTGCTTGAAGGGCCGGCAGGGGAATGAGCATAAGTACGTTTCGGCTAGATAACCCAGTCGTATCCTTTTTCCATTTTATTTCGGGGTCTCCTTCTTAAAGCTATGTCTAGGAAAAAGGTTACCCTTATTGGGAACCTAGTTGGGTTAGTTAAATGGGAGCTTTACCGCACTCAAGGCAGGGATGGATTCGGCCACCCCCCTCAAGCCCTAGGTTAGGAAACCGAAAGCCCCAAAACCTCAAATTCTGCAATCAACATAACCCTAAACCCTGCAACCCTAAACCCAGCCCGGGACCTCCGTGACTTTGGACACCCGGAGGTCAGAGCTCCGGACGGCCATCCTGGAATGGAACATGGCTGTTGAGCGAAGCTTTGCCTGAGATGTTTGGGGTTTTGGGATTAGGGTTTAGGGTTTAAGGGGTTTAGGGCTGAGGGCTTAGATCTTAAGGAGGTTAGGTTTTAGGGTTTCGGGTCTTGAGGGCATCCAGGGACCCAATAACAATGCACCTTAATCAAGGAACATCCTCTAAGTCACAGCATCTCCGATGTGAATTTGGGTATATTTTCTGTATGAAAGTATTTGGGGCTCACTGGGTCAGGGGTGTATAGATCGAGGCTCAAAACTTAGAATTTTGGGAGGTTTTAGAGTTATTCAGCGACCTTGCGTTCAGGATGCAAGAATGTGGGGTCTGCGAGAAGAATCAGTCGGTTCTTATCGTGCCTCCCGTTCTTTCTAATTATAGTCCCCCATAAGTAGATAGAATATGGGGTATATGGGGATCTTGTTATAACATACCCAAAGCCATATGCCATATTCCATCTACTTAAGGGGGACTATAAACATGTCCGCCTCTTTGAGGAAGATACCACCTGCGGTCCATATACGGGGAGATTGCACAATGGGACGTCTCGGCTGTCACCGACATGACGGGCCTTTTTGAAGATCTTGCGAGCTTCAATGATGACATTACAGCGTGGAATACAGCTGCTGCCAGGGATATGAGCCGCATGTTCAAAGGGGCATCGTCCTTCAACCGCTCCATCGGTTCGTGGAATACCACATCCGTGGTCAAGATGGCACACATGTTTGATGGTGCAACCGTGTTCAACCAGCCCATCGGCACATGGGCTACTTACTTCCCATGTGCGCGACATGCGCTACATGTTTCATTGGGCTGCAGCGTTCAATCAGTCTATTGGTGCCTGGAGCACATCCCGCGTAAGAGACATGACCGGGCTGTTTTCACACGCGTTGTCATTTGACCAGGCCTTGTGCAACTGGAACACTACAGCCGTTACGCGCATGAGCAGGATGTTTCAAAGTGCAGAGGCTTTCAACCAGCCCGTTTATGCATGGAACACAGCTATTGTGCAAAACATGGACAGAATGTTCGAGAGTCTTGCCAGTGCTTAGGTAGGAAAGAAGGGATTAGACGTAGTGGCTATCCTGGGGAAAATGCAGGCCCACTAGTAGATCCATCCCTTTATCCCCTTCGAACTACCAGTAAGGAGTGCATCAGCGTTCGACCAACAGCTTGATTCATGGAAGACCTCTTCTGCGGTCACTATGAGCTTCATGTTCAACGCTGCACGATCTTTTAATCAACCCATTGGCACATGGGATACCTCGAAGGTGACAGCAATGCAGGGCATGTTTTCTGGTGCCGCGGTGTTCAATCAACTGATTGACTCGTGGGATACTTCATCTGTGACAGATATGTCCAGCATGTTTTCGGGAGCACTTGAATTCAACAAGCCAGTTGGCTCCTGGAACACGTCAGCGGCCACAGACATGTCCATGATGTTCGAAAGAGCACTTGCATTCAACCAGCCTGTGGGCTCGTGGAACGTGTCATCTGTAGTGGATATGGCCAAGATGTTCTGGCTTGCTTCTTCTTTCAATCAGGACATTGGATCCTGGGATACCGGGTCTGTTGTGAACATGACCAGTATGTTTTCTGGAGCTGCGGCGTTCAACCAACCAATTGGCTCGTGGAACACTTCGCATGTGACAGACATGTCGCACATGTTTCGGGATGCTTCTTCTTTCAATCAAGCCTTGGGGTCATGGACCCTTACATCTGGCATTGACACCTCGGACATGTTCCACGGCGCAGCTGCCTTCGACTTACCGCCATGTCGAGCTGGATCTGCTCTTGCAGGCAATGGCCTTGGCTGTGAGCCATGTCCGGCTGGGCACTTCGCTAAGGCAGGTTGGGGCTACTGCGAGGCTTGCGGCAAAGGCACCATTCCGGACATCCATGGTGACAGCTGTCAGGATTGCCCACCTGGGACAGTTTCTGCACAGGATGCATGCCATCCGTGTCAACTGCCTCACATCGTGTATGATGATGCCTGCGCGTGGTGGCCCTTAACCGTGGTCACCGTGGGCAGCATTGCTGTTCTGGTGGCTGCACGTCTTCTGGTCAGTTTCCATCGATCACGTCGGGATGGAAAGCTGAAATCTGCATTGGCCACTGGGCAAGAAGTTCCCACCTGCAGACCTCTTTTTGGCTAACCCCAAAAAATCCAAAGCTGGCTCAAGAGAACTCTGAGCGTACCAGGTCCCGATATCTAAGTCCGCACTGAACCTCGTGACCTGTAACCATGTCTTCCCAGACCCCCTAGAGGATCCAAAAAATGGAGCCTCCCAATAATCCCCTAGTTTTCCCAATTCAGTAATGGGGTCGTTTTGGGGGGGCTCCATGTTTTGGATCCTTTAGGGGGTCTGGGCTTTTAAATCACTAGCAATCTCGTCCAGGCCTTAATTCAGAACTCGCGGGCGCAACAAGCTCTAAGGAGACATTGTATCGTGAATTGTGGGATCCGTGCCCAGATGTTGACAAGCATGTAGCCATCCTGCAAAAGCTGGGCATGAAGCCTGCCGAGACAGAGCAAAAGGTGGCAGTTTCTCAAATGTGGGATACCCAATATAGACCCCCCAAGTATTGTAGTCCTTATGTTGGGGACCTCAACATACAATAGTCCTTATTATGTAGACCCCCAAATACAATAGTCTTCATTTTAGGGACCTCAACATATTATAGTCCTTGTTATATACCCCCCCAAATACAATAGTCCTTATTTTAGTGACCTCAACATACCCCGGTTTTTATTATATAGACCCCAGAATACTACAGTAGTCCCTATTATGGAGACCTCAACATGGTAGCCCTAATTTTGGGAAGCCCCCAGGTTTCTAAGATGATGGCAAACCAGAGCCTGATTGCTGGAGTGAGTATCCGATACCTTCTGTCTGAGAGCTTTTCCCACCTGGCAAAGCAGAGAACTGGCCTCGCGAATCCCACATTCAATGATATGAAGTCCGCCTTCTGGCTTTGTGACGACCCCATTGGCCATGATATCCGCTGCCCACGAGATGGTAGGATGGGCTGCGCTCTTGTAGATTGGATCCCGCGACTCGACCGGAGGGAACAAAGCCACTTTCTATCTTGGACGTGGCAGTATAGCCTCTCTGACTTGCAGAGTGCCTTGACGTCCTTTGGAGGAAGCGAGGCGCATGCTCAGTGCGACATCTTCTTCTATGTGTGTTTTTTTGTGAACAACCAGTTCCGGATCATACTGGAGTCGTCCCAAGCTGGTAGTGAGGACCTAGAGACCGTGTTCGAAAGCAATCTCAAACGCGTGGGACAAGTAGTAGCCGTGCTCGACACTTGGGACAGACCCAGGTACCTGGGTTGTTGTTGTTGAATGGCACGTTATGTTTCATGTTTAATTGAGCCCGTTAGACATGAACAATGATCATGTTGTATTCTAGCTTAACATCAACATCCAAGGTATCTCACGAGGATTTGGACTGTATACGAGCAGTATGAAGCGTCTAGATTGGACACTGAGGTGCTGTTAAAAAATGATCTGATTAGATTCAGTTACTATAATCAGAAACCCCATTACTCACTATATGGGTAGTTCCCACAGTTAGGGTCCTATTATGGTACCCCTAAATATGCACTATAATCTCTACTCGACAGGGCCCGTAATCTTGAGAACAACTGATATAACCATATTTCGGTAAGTTCATTTAATTCCTTAACCGCAACCCAGGAGATTCCCGTGATCTTCATCATGCCAGAGCAGGCGCTGCTGTCCGCACAGGAACAAATGTCCAGAGGCAGAACCTTACAGGCTGTTAGTAGTGGAGGAAAGAGCTGATCCTGGTAGGCCCACCAATTTGGACACTTTAATAGGTTCCATGTCCACCCTAAACCCTCAACTATGTTTATTAGCGTTTATTCCATCCCTGTTACGAACTCGTAAGGAGAAGGTATGCGTCGCATCACCGAAGCATTGAGCAACGTAGATTCGGAGCACGCCGAAGCGTGGAAGAAGGAAGACGAGCTCAAGGTGAAAGGACCGGCTCTCGGTGGCTGAGCAGCTAGGTATAGGGTTTAGGGCTTTAGGGTTTAGGGTTTAGGGGTTTAGGGCTTTAGGGTCTAAGGGTTTAAGGGTTTAGGGTTCAGAAGTATAGTACAAGTTGGGATACTGGAAATATTCAAGGGATTGTGGGATTGTATAAAGATAATGGAAGAGAAAATGGACACTACCATAGTGTATTGGGGTTATGTATGTTTTGAGGTATGTCATGAATGTCAGGCAAACATTTTTCAGGGCCAAGGAATACAGCAACTAAAGACGTGGCAGCGGGGGGCGCAGGTGCTGTGTTTTGAGGAGTTGTAGCTGCTTGGGGCGGGCCCATTAGGTATTGTATCTGTTTGTACCATAGCAACGGTCAATGTACTGACTTAGATCTTGGATGTAAGCGGCCTAGTTACAATGTTGCACCAGTTCTGTCGAAGCTGCATCAGTGCTGAAAAGTTTCTGGGCTAAAACTGGTCTGGGATACCCTAAACCCTAAGCCGTAAGATGATCAAGTAGAACTCCATAGCCCAGTGTAGGTTACTAGTTATAGACTTTCAGGGTCCAGAGCAGGTTTTGTATTTAGACTTAGCTCCCCTGTGGGAGGGGCAAGCTAAAGCTCAGTGCCCAGCAGCAGAGGCGCTTCCAGTCAGAAGTGCCCTCCGCCCCCAGGAGCACTTGAGAGCCATGTTTCGCTATGAAATTGGACCACTCCCTTGTAGAGCATTTTCTTGTCTTGAGAAGGGGACGATTCAACAGCGGAATTGAACGCTCCTGTGCAAACTTGTACGTATTGCATTTCTGGGGAAACTTGCATGTGTTGACTTCAACGGAAGCAATTGAAGATCCCAATGCGATTCCGGTATGAAACATGTGCGCATTCGGGCGACATAATTACGGCGTAGGGATGCGTTTGGGTTTGGTGGGTTTGGCTTAGAGGTGTGCTTTGGGGAGGGCGGGGCTGGGCTTAGAGGTGGGGTGCTTGGCTGAGACAGCTGCGGCAAGGGGTGTTTGGCTTAGACCGCACTTTGGTTTAGGTGTTTGGGCGGGTCGGGGTGGGGCGTTGGCTCAGATGTGCGTTTTGAGGCGTGTGGGGCTCAGAGATGTACTGTGGCGCAGCGTGCTTGGCTGGAGGTGCGTTTTGGGCTAGGGTGGTTTGGCTTTAACCTACGCTTCGGCGAGGGGTGTTTGTCGAAGGCGTAGGTTTTGCCTTGCGATGGGGTGGTTGGCAAGGAGGTGCCGAGGTGTTTAGCTTGGAGGCTTGGAGGTGGGTTGTTGGATGGGGTGTGCTGCTTAAAGGTGCGTTTTGGGCCTGGAGGTTGGGCTTAGAAGTGCGCTTTCGCGCGCGGTGTTTGAATGCTGAATGCGAGATGGGCGGTTGTTTGAAGAAGTGTGTTTGGGCGGTCACGCTACGCAGGGCTGAGTCAGGTTTTGGTCCGAAGCGGTGGAGCCTGACCCCCAAGCAGCACCCACGTCACTTTGGTTCAGACCTCTGGCCGCAAATGGCGGTGTTTAGGATTTAGGCTCCTGGCGCCTGTTTCTAACTTGCAAACAGATGGGGCATCCCGCTTTCCCACAACAACGGTGGCCACACAGGGCACTGCTATGAACGTGCCGAGATGCTATGGATGCCTCCTTGCCATACACTGTTGACTGCACATAGGTTCTATTATGCTCGCCTAGGCATCTGCAAGCTGTTCATGCAAAAACCTCCAGCAAACGACATGTTGGACCTTATAATTTTCGACCATTACTGCCAATAGCCCCTATTAATACATGCTACTCCCATGATACACTGAAATTTGATTGGCTCGTATTGGGGCATCCGTTGCAAGGTTAGAGGGACTGGATAACTAAAGGCCCTTCTAAACCAACGCAAGTGGCTCGGTGAAGCCCTGTGAGGTCCTCGCTTCCACCCTTCTACCCCTTAAAAGGCTGAAACGAACAAGATCATGGCCGAGTGACTTGTTTGTAAAAGGGGCTGCCAGCAAGAGGTCACTTGGCCCAAACATACGATAACCTTTAATTAGTTAGTATAGCTCAAGAAAGCTTATCGTCTATTAGGTAACAGGGTCTGGGGCCCTATTCGCGCCAGGACTGATTCGCCAAACGGTGGGCTTCGATCATGTGAACAGGCATGTCAGAGATGTCATGCTCGAATGGATCCTGTCAGCAACAAAGAAGCAGCTGGAGGAGGCCTTATGTGAAGCTCGGGCCAGGGTGGTGGACCGCCAGACCAGTTACAGTGGTTATTCTTCGTCTGTCTGAGCAGACTGGCTTCCAAACATTAGGGGTCCCTGTTTGGGAGTCATTTGAAATCAAGGGGTTGATTTGAATTATAGTATTTGGAGTTATGCAAGGGGGGACCCCTAGTTTTGGAAACAAACGCCTAGCTGGCGAAACTGGTAGCCTGCGCTTTGCTTCCGCACTTATTTCCAGAGTGCTGCGTGTGGTCTGGGTGCCTGCCAGTTTTAGTCTGTACATGAAATGGCAGAGGTGTCAAGATCCCCTACCCTAAGGGTCCAAGAAGCCCAGAATCACGTTCTCCCCCTCAACCTTTACTACAGATATTAGCACCGGAATCATCAGTGCCCAATTACTTGGCGCATGGACCCTTAGGCCTAATCCAGAAGCATTTTGAGCATGTCCATACTTTTTGTTTTGCAGCTCGGGTGGCCGAGCTGGCTAGATTCAAGATGAATTGCTCAAAGAGAGTGCAAAGGTTGTTTTCGATAGTGGGGTTTGCGAGAATTACTTAGAGGGGTCCCTGCAACAAGGATTGTTTACATTGGAGTTGAAGTTGGACGTGCAATTGCCAGCGGGAACCGCGTCCGTTGGTTTGGGAAAAGTTCAGAAAAGACTGCGCGCTACTAGGCGCCATAATCAACTTTACATGGCAAATGTTGTCTTGCGACCAACCTGCGAGACTCTGTCTAGTTACTTAAATTATGAGTGCCAAACGTGCAACATGCAAGTTCCGCCATGCATCACATGCATGCATGTGCCTCATGACCTGTTTAAAGCATTGGACCTGAATGATTCCCAAAAAATATGGTCTTGGGTCCGTCACGTAGTTATAAAATTATAGGGGGCAACAACACAACCTCAGAAGGAGTGCGGTAATTTTTTAGGCCCCTACAGGAGACGTGCCGCCTAGCAGGCAAACTGCAGCCAGTGCGCCTGGAATTTTGAGATGCCATGTTGAAGAGGGTTTAGGGTTTAGGGATTCCCCCACCCCGCAGTAGCAGTATAACCGGAATATAAGAGGACCCTGATACAATTGCCATTAGGCTGTTTCTGACAATGACGGCAATATAGGGTTTCCCAAAATATCAGGGGGCAAATTATGCGGGGTCCAGATAGTAAGGATCATATTATATTGAGGTAATAAAGAGGACCTTTCTAATCATCTTTGCATATTTCCTTTGTATCCTCAGGGGTTTAGGGAGGCCCCCTTTTTTGAGGAACCTAGCCGAGGGTAGTATCGTCAAGAGCAGCATGGTAACGGAATAGCAGACAGGGTAGAGTGCCTCTGTACATCAGACGGTCTTCGAGGGACATTCTGCACGGAGACGAAGACCATGCTGCAGCCTTCTAACCCAAGTTGTGTTTGTGAAGAACCTGACTCTGCACTGCTTTGCAGCCTTGCTCATCCACATGTTACTTGCACTTACAACCGGTTGGCAAAACCCCTAACCATGCGACAGCAACAGTGCGGGAGAGTTGCAGGTCTTGCGAAGATTGCGGGGGCGAGCTTCACGATACGCGCCTGGATGAAAAGAGGGCGCTAGAACCACGAGAGCTTGGCATCTTCTCTTTAGCTCAGGTCTAGGACATGGTGGTCTGAACATTTAAAAGCTGGTCTAGTTCATCCACCCCCATCATCCTGAAATTTGGGGGTTCCAGGAACTGCAACTCATGAAGCCAGGCTAACCTTGGGACCTCGCTCCGTTCGTTCCAGTTCAAACACACACACAGAGACATCTTGAAGGGTTTGAAGGGAAAAGGCTCCCATATGAGCCAAAGTCTAAAGTCCTTAAAGGGGGTTATATAGGGGATTATATAGGGGACTACTATAGGGGTTATTAAGGGGGATACTAGGAGTTTAGACTATAGCTCATATGTATTCACCAGATGAAGCCCCTTTGTCCCAGGATTGTCAACTTCGGGAACACTGTGGAGCACGTGCCTTCGATGGAAGATGCCCACGACAGGACCTGGGTTTCTCAGCTTCATGAGATTTTTGATCTGTAAGGGTTCCTTGTCAAGAAATTGTCGTGCCTCTTCTAATTCAGGGACCTGAGTAAGTAGAAAAGGCTTTGATACTATAGCACTCTGTTTATATAAGAATTGCTAGGGAAGGTTCTAGTGCCGTAGGTTCACGTCTATGTTCTTTGGCATGCGGCTTCGCTTCGCAGCGCGTTCCTGCTAGGAATAGGTGTAATGCTATTCCACAATTTGTAGTGTTCAGGCGTTTCCCTCCTACACCCGCCTATACTACCCTACTAGGTTCCATCTTGATTTAGGTTGTTTAGAATTGGGAGGAACCGAAGGGGGCGGCACAGGGCAACCAAGCGTCATCAGGCTATCCTAGCTAGAAGCCCAAGGTATGTAGAACTGGTGTCGTGCCTTACACCCCAGAACCTTCAAGTAGAAAATAATTAGTTCAAGCTGGAAGTGTGACCGAATCTGCAGGTGCTACTTATAGGCTTTAGTGCAAACTACCCAAAATTTATAGACTGGGACCCAAGGATACGGGAGGTTAGACATGTGCTGTTGTCCTTCATGCTAAAGTGCGCCGCCTTACAGGGATGCTCTGCTGTACTAAGACACTAGAGAAGGCAGTTAGGGCTGAACCATTCCCAAGCCTAAGCTTCAGTAATCCGCACCCTTCACCCAACAGACCCTACAGGCCCTACGCTGTACTGTGCAGAGGAGAGCTTCCCTTGTGAGACGTCGGGAACACGTGAGCTATAGTCTAACCTCCTTAGAGAGGGTTATACGAGCGAGTATTATAGGGCTTCTGACGGGATACTAGGAGTTTAGACTATAGAACACATGTCAGTGGTTTGATTTTTCCAGAAATCGTCCCGGTTGGTAGTTCTCAGGTGCGTACCTTTACAGGACGCCGGTATAGACCTCACATAACCCCATTACGCCTGCCCGAGACTTGTACGGGGATACCCACATGGCAACTACCCACCTGTGGGTGTCCTTGATTTTTTTCAAAAGAAAATCCGAGCACATCTGGATATCTCTCAACATGAGGGTACTCCTGTATGGCCACTGCAGTTGAATACAACTGTTGTCATGATAATCCCTGTAGCTTCCATTTTTCCATTAT